GGGTCAATTTAGATCCACAAAAGCATTGTGTGTATGCAGCATCAGCAGCTGAGGAATATTTGATTAACTTACCTTGCTTTGCGTTTCTTCTTCAGGGCGGGTTCTGGCTCAAGAGATATCTCAGCTAGTGGCAAAAAATCGCCTGCGACAAGATCAGGACGCTCTGATTCCCGATCAACAAAATTACATACGGTAGCTTCTCTTTGTAACCTACTAGCTTCTCTTTTAAGAGCCACTAGGTGAGGATTTAAGCCCTTCCATTTCCTCGAGCACTGAATGCGACTACGACCAGACATATGTGAAGCGACTTCGGCCCACTTACTTCCGTGTTCTTTGACTGCTTCACTCAACTTTGCAACCTCTTCCTCGGTCCATTTCCCACGTTTTACATTGGGATCCAACGTTTCCCATTTCGTTGAGCACTGAACACCCACCCTTCCAGGAACAAACTGAGCAATTTTTTACCACTTTTTAGGTCCAATGAGTGTAAAAGCTATCTTCAAACGTTCTTCTTCCTCTGAACTCCAACTCCCTTTCATTTCTATGGTAGGGTGAAGCGACTTCTTCCATCTGTAAATACAGAGAAGAAGGGAATAAGATATACAACATTCAAGTATGTATTATCAGAATTCAGACAGAAACAAACATCATAAAATTAAAGAGAACAACCCTTCTAAATATAATCCCACATACGACTCTTTCCCGTCCCCAAACAAGCTATAGCTCCTAGGGCCATTATTGCTTAGATTTCATCCGACGAAAATGTAAATATACTATGGAATTCGATTATCTAATATAATCAAGAAGAACACTGACCTATTGGAGCACTGAGATCCAATTCTTCCTTTTAGTACACTCGCAACAGATTGCCAGTCGTTCTCGCCAAACAAGTTTACTGCATCACGGAGTTGGTCATCTTCCTCTGCAGTCCACTTGCTATTCAATATGTTTTTATTCAAGCTTCTCTGATATCGAGCCAAACATTGGAATGGGGTCCTATTTGTCCCTAGTGATACTGCGACGTCAAGCCAGTCTGTAAAACTCTTGTTTTTGTTAATTAAGCGTATGTGATCGTCCTCTGCTGCAGTCCAGTACGAAGCGTGGTTGATCAATGGATCTTCTGAGCTCATCCAGCGGGATTTACATTCTGCAGCAGAACGGTTCTTGATATCCAATTGATCCCAATTAACTTTCGGAAGAAACTGCCGAATCATTTCTGGTGTGATCTCAAGATTTCTTACCGATTCAAGAATGGTGTTTATATCATCTGTAGATCCTTCCAAGTCACTGTTAAGAAAAAAAAAGAAACTTTCCAATACTGCATCTGTATAGTAGATCTTAAGAAGCAAGTTTAAGGGTACTAGGCACCAGAATATGATAGCACTTTAAATAATACCTGTAACGTTCAGTAGCTTCAAGAATGAGTGTTTCTTGAAATTGCTGTTTGAGACCTTTTGCAAGATTTTCGTTCTCCTTAGTAGACCACTTTGTGCGAACTAATGAAACTGAATATTGCTCTTGTGCCATCCTATAATCTGCAACACAATGATTTTCCGGTGGACCCAATGTCAAAGGAGATGTCTTTTTACCATTATCCTACCCAGAAAAAAGAAAAACACACAGAGTTTAAGAAAATAAACATTATTCCTACATAAAACAGCAGCTGCAAGAAAACTTGGATCAACGTGTGTTACCTTAGAGCTATCAGGAGGCCCAGATTCTCGTGCTGAGATTAATTCGATACGAGGATCTTTACTCTGAGATAGTGCCTGCTTAGTTATCCTCTTGCAAGAAGCTTGAAAATCTTTCACAATCATAACATTCTTCTTGTGTTTCTCGTTCTGCTTAATTGTTGCTTCAATTTCGCCCAATTTTCTTCGAAGAAAAACCTGATATGACCTGTTCCTCCGTACTGTATCAACAAAGGCTTGTGCAGATTCAGGGAAACTTGAACTCGCAGCTGAGGCAAAAGATGTTTCCAAAAGGTCAGGAGGCTCAATGGAAGTATTTTCATGTAAATGGCCAGCTTCTACTCTACTCAATACTTCGCGCTTGTCCGAGGCATCTACCTCCTTTTCCGAACCATTCATGAAATTTCCTTCCAGATCAATTTTTTTATAAGCAGAGAATGGCCTACGAAGGGTTTCAAACGCACCATCTTCGTCTTCTTCCATCGCCAATGTCAATTGGCTCTTAATTCTACGAAGCATCTCGAAATCGTCCTCATTCTCCGAATCCGAGGGTACTGATAAACACGAGGGTAATTGGCTCTTAATGGTCCGAAGCATCTCGAAGTCGTCTTCGTTCTCCGAATCAGATAACCCCATGGGAGGATGATTACCGCACAAATCCACATCCATCGACGATGAAGCTAATTGCCTCTTAATGTTCCTAAGCATCTCGAATTCGTCTTCGTTCTCCAAATCCGACGGCGTCCATCCGCCACCAGCTTCAGCAGAAGCGGAATTGTCCTTGGAGACCATACATGCGCGTTTTAAGTCTTCGAGGTCT